GAGAAAAGCATCTAAAGAAGCTCCTTCTCGGTCGGGCAGACCGACAGCGACTCTAAGTTCCGCTCCGCTCCGGGGAATCTCTGATTCTCCGCCGGGTAAACCGGCATCCGTTCCGCTCCGTTTCGAGAAATCTCTGATTTTCCGCCGGGAAAACCGGCATTTTGCTAGACCCGCTCCAGGGAAATCTCGTATTCACCGCCGGGCAAACCGGCTCTTCCGCTCCGCTCCGTTCCAGGGGAATCTTGTATTCTCTGCTGGGCAAATCGGCTTTCCGCTTAATCCGTTCCAGGAGAAGGAGCGCACAGCGGCGCCGTACTACGCCTAGCGAAGAAGGCCGGCCGATCATCAAAGATCACTTTTCCGTAAGAAAGCGACAGTTTCGTGATGTACATATTCTTCCGAATCTGTATAAATATCCTGCAAACTTGGTAAAACTCACTTTTCAACGCAATGCTGCTCGAACCACTNTTTCGTGAGAAAGAGACTTTTCACGGTGTAAATATTTTTCTGAAACTGTAATACAAATATCCTGCAAACTTGAAAAACCTCACTTTTCAAAGCATCGCTGTTTAAATCATTGTTTCGTAAGAAAGCGACTTTTCGTGGTGTAAATATTTTTCCGAATCTGAATAAGTATCTTGCAAATTTGATAAACTCACTTTTCAAGCACCGCTGATTAAATCACTTTTACTGAAACTCATTTTTTAGTATACATTATATTTTCCTTTATTGTAAATATTTTTCTTCTTTTTTTTGTTTAATAAATTCTTATTATTTTGCTGTTTCTAAAACCTAACCGAGTTACTCTATTTTATTTCACCCTGATCCCGACGAGCTATTCCGCAGCTAGTATCAAAGTACCTAAAACAAAGACAGAGTAATTTTCAATCAAAAAGTAGGACCGTTACAAGCCTAACTAAAATTCGGCTTATTTTGCAGTCTTTTCAATAAATCTTCAATAGAGACATGTGTATCTGTCTCTGTATCGTTATTATTTATCCCGACTGTGGAAGATTTTATATTTCTAAAAGAGGCAATATCTTTATTTGATAATTGATGCTTTTGCGGTGTGGAATATTAACATAGAAAGATGTTTTTTCGGGTTTGAACCGCGTTAGTGTCATTTTTATATCGACGTTTTGTAAACATTACAGCTCACTTTATCAGGATTTAAAGAGCAGCCTGATACTGAGATGCTCTTGGTCAGGTGTCCTTTTTATAGAGCTAGATTGGAGTGAAAGGAATGTGGTGGAGGAGGGGAATGGGAAGGGTGGAATGGTAAGAAGAAAAGGGGGATATATTATGGCAGAATGGAATGCCATAGTAAACTAGTTATATGTCCATTGTCTCTATTGAGATTGTTTGAATGTTTGTATATCTCCAGAGATTTCATATACTTTTTAGGGAAGTAAGCCCTAGTTTTGTTTAGTACTTGGGTTTGGTCAAACATAATTTTGTGACCAGTTTCCAAATAGTATTTTGTTAATGCCGATTGTGAGTAATGTTTTAGACGTACTGCTGACTGACGTTCTTTTAGTCGTGTGCTTATCATTTTACTAGTTTCACCTATGTATACTTTACCGCATGAACAAAGTATTTTGTACATCCCTGGTGTGTCTAATGACGGTCTTTTGTTTTTTGGATTGGTAAGACTTTGTCCTATTTTATTCGGTGGTGTGTAGACCGTTTGTATGTTGGGTTTGTTCATGATTCTGCCAATCTTATCTGTGACACCCTTTATGTATGGGAGGTAAGTGGTTCGTTTCTTTAAGTTTGTGTTTTGTTCTGGTTCTGACGTATTATTTTGAGTGATGGTAGAGGATTTATTTTGATGGTTTTTAATTAGTTTGTTTTTTTGTTGCAGTGTGTAACCATTTTGTTGTAGAGTGTTTTTTAATTCTTTGAGTTTGTTTTGAATGCTGTCTCTCTTTGTTGCATATAGTAAATGCTTTATAGATCAACGAGTTTATCACAGCTTGTTTTTGGGCTGGGCGATAATGTGATGCCGCGTATAAATATTGATTGGTGCGGGTGAATTTTTTATAGATTTGGTGGCCTAAAGAGCCGTCTGGTTTTCTTGTGACTAGAACATCTAAAAATGTAAGTTTACCACGGTGTTCTGTTTTAAATGTAAAGATAATGATTGGGTGTTGTTTATTCAGAAAGTTTAAAAAGTTATAGAGTTCTCTCTCCCCATGTTGCCAAATGACAAAGGTGTCATCTACGTACCGGTACCATGTTTGCGGCTTTAATGGGGCTTTTTTGATGGCTTTGGATTCAAAGTTCCATAAATATGTTTGCTATGATTGNAGATATCGGTGATCCCATAGCTGCACCTGTGATTTGTTTTTAGAATTGGAGTAATTAAGATATAGGAGTTCTGATCAAGGGGATCCAAAGGGGGTGAGGGGACGGGGAGTAACTGCGGAAGGAGGGAAGGGGGTAACCGCGGGAAGTGGAGGAAGGGTAACCGCGGGAGGGAGGTGGAGGGGGAAGGAGGACTCAATGGAAGCTTTTCTGTGAAAAACCGCAAGAAGAGAGGGAAGGAGGAGTCAATGGAAACATATTTGTAATAATGAGAGCAGGACTTGGGTGTTGCGGATGAGATAACGTAAGAGTGCGGGTGGTGTCGGCGGAGCGTTGTTATCGGCTCCGCCGGAATTAGCTAAGTAACGGCGAACCGTAAAAATGGAGCGTGCAATATTCGAGCGAGTTGTATTTATTTAAGATAGTGGTTACGCCATTGGTTGTAACGTGTTTGAACGTGTTCAAGGTCGATCGGTTGATGACGTCATTGGTAAAATAATAGCACCTTTCAATTATAGTTTTAAATTGCGCAGTAAAATAAAGGAATTCTGAGAAAAACCGCAAGAATATTGATGACGTCATCGTTAAAAATAGAACTTGAACAGGTTCAAACGTGTTCAAGGTCGTTCGGAATGATGACGTCATCGTTAAAATTGCAATTGCGCAGTAAAACACAATAATTTCGAGAAAAACCGCAAATTTCTCGGAAGCGGTTCGCGTAAAAAAAATAAATTGCGCGCAGTTCGCAATTGCGCAGCAAATAAATAAGAAATTCCCAGAAATACCGCAATTTCCCGGAAAACAAATAATTCCGAGAAAAACCGCAATTTCCCGGAAAACAAATAATTCCGAGAAAAACCGCAATTTCCCGGAAGTAAGCCGGTTCTTATCGCCCTAAGCGATCAGCCTCTTCCGGTTTGATAACGCACTTCCCATGATAACGCAAAACCGTTGCGTACCGTATGTGGTGTTTGTGAAACGCAAACAAGTAACAACCTAGATATATGTTTACATCTTGAGGACTAGTGGTGCAAAAAGATGTAATGGAACGCATTGTGTTAGGAATGTGAAATAAAAACTCTATGTTATTAAAAATTATAGGAAATTTATTTTATGTTTTTTGTAAACATATATTGTGATATAATGAAAAGTAAACAATAATAATTTATATTAAGGAGCAACACCGTAACATACAGCCATCAGTTCGCAATTAACAATATCGTTGACGTCGAAGCAACCGCTCTGTGCGACAGCAGTTGCGAAGCTCGCGGGATCCGATGTTTCAGACAAGATCGCGAAATACCGCCAAAATCTGTTTCGCACGCGAATAACAACATTGTTCAAGTAGTCAATGATGCATGCCACGCAATGTTTTAAGTTAAACAAGTTGCACATCGATTGGTGGGAAAGTAATATGCGACCGGTTTTTGTAGACAGACGTATAATCCTCGCGGTGTTTATCAAGCTGAAAGATACCGCTAGATCGTCGACAAGAATCGACGGCTGCGCATCGCTTTGGCCAGACAAATACAATGTGATAACTCGTTTGTTATCCAACAACGTGTTCCACATTTCCGGCAACAAAAGCACCTCGTTCCCATTGTTCTCACCGGGTGATACTCTATTGACCACAGTACGATTCGACACCGCTCGATTCGACACAGATTTATTCGACAC